CCGCCTCTCGCTCGAAGACGTGAAGCGGGCTATCCTTCAAGAGGATTTCCGCCGTCGTGAGTTGGCGAGTGCGGATGGCGCTGGGGCAGCGAGCATCGGCCGTGGATATGGCCGAGGAAGAGGCAGAGGAAAAGGGGGAGGAAGGTTTGGTGGCAGCAACTTCGGCGGAGGCCGCGGGAGTGGCGGTTACGGCAGCAATGACAAGAGCTACGGACGCGGTCGCGGCCGATTCGACGGCGAGTGTCACTATTGCCACAAGAGCGGACACATGTGGCGCGACTGCTACAAACTCCCTGATGGTTGGACCCCTGCTCAAGGCCAAGAGGGTAGAAGAGCAGGAGGAGGGAGAGGACGAGGCCGTGGAGGCCGTGGCGGTCGCGGTGGCGGAGTTGCAAACATGAAGAGCGGAGACAACGACAAGGACCCGAGCGACGATCGATACCCGGGTCTATTCTACTTCGTGTCGACGCAAGCACCGGCTGGTCCAGAGAAGGATGAAGACTTTGAGGAGCCAGCAGCTGTGGGGAAGGTGACCCTACACCCCCTCGACTACTGGGTGATTGATAGTGGCGCTACCTATAGCATGACACCTCGCCCGGACTTGCTCACCGAACTCGAGCCGTCACCGGTGAAGCATGTCACATCGGCTTTGGGGCAGCGAGCAGAGGTGAAAGGCATGGGGAAGGCCATGTTCAAGGGTGCTGATGGGAAGATGGTGGGCCTCAAGAACGTGCTTTGGGTGCCCAGCCTTGCTGCAAACCTGATTTCCGTGCGGCGGTTGGCAAAGGCCGGCATGGACACTAACTCGAAGGGAGCCAAGACCTACACCGCAAGGCTTGGCGATCGAATTCTCTGGGACCTTCATGAGGACAGGGATGTCTACAACGAGATGTGGCAGATTCCAGTGGTCCCTATGCCTAAGGAGAGGCAAGTGGCAGCAAGCATCAGCACCAAGGATGGAGCGGTCGGTAGCGACGATGGCGCGAACGGTCGCGCTAAGGAGAATGAGCTCAAGAAGAGCAAACCTGGAGGGACCAGCAAGTTCAGTGAACCTAAGGAGAGTGGTGCAGCAGCCAAGGAGCAGCAAAAGGGTGAGGAGAACCCCGAGGCAGCAGCGGAGGAGGACTACGGAGAGAGTATGTGGGGCGCTATTGCGAGCGCGGCATTCTCCAATCCAACTTCGGCTACGGGGGAGTGTGATTGGCTCACCTTGCATCGGCGCATGGGGCATGTGGCCCTGCCTATCTTGCAGCAGCTAGTGAAGAATGAGATGGTTGCTGGCATACGTGTGAAGGGGGAGCCCGATGAGGTGCTTGGCTGCCCGACGTGCATTCAAGCCAAGTTCACCCGGTTTCCGTTCTCTAGTTCGGAGGCAACGGCAAAGGCACCGCTTGATGAGGTGGTGATGGACGTGGTGGGCCCCCTGAAGCTTGGAGCTGCTGGAGCTGAGTATTTTCTCACCATTGTTGACGTCTACACCCGCATGACTTGGGTGTACGTGCTGGCCAAGAAGAGTGACGTGGCTGAAACATTGAAGGCGGATTGGTTCCCGATGGTGGAGCGGCAACAAGACCGTCTAGTCAAGTCAATCCGCACCGATCGAGGGGGAGAGTTCCTGAGCAAGGAGTTTGGGTTGTGGCTGAAGAAGAATGGTATTCGGCACTCCCTCACCATGCCATACTCCCCTGCAATGAACGGCATCGCCGAGCGAGCGAACCGCACAATCACGGAGGCGGCGCGCGGGTTGCTCATTGAAGCCGGGCTACCCGACTATTTCTGGCCTGATGCGGTGCGGAGCGCGTGTGTGGCCAAGAACAGAGCCTTGACTCATGTGGGAGCAGACAAATGGGTGCCCTATGTGGAGTGGCTAGGAAGGAAGCCAAAGGTGGATATGCTTCGGGTGTTCGGGTGCATGTGCATGGCGCTTGTGCCTAAGCATCTTCGGCACAACAAGCTTGGTGCCAAGGCGGTGTGGGCCGTGCACTTGGGCATGGCTCAAAACAGCAAGGGATGGCTTCTTTGGGACCCATTCACCAAGAAGTTCTTGGTGAGCAGGGACTGCAAGTTCATGGAGAACTTCATGTACAAGGATTGGAAGGCGGAGAATGAGGCGAAGATAGGCGTGCGGTTTGGGGAGGTGAAGAGTTCCGGTTTGGAGCATGTGGAGCTGCCTTTGGAGCTGAGCAGCGGCAGCACAACCACGAGGCAATCCTCCCTTGTGAATGGGGGAGAGGAGGCCAATGATGCAGAGGAAGAAGAGGAGGAGGTGCAGCAAGTGAGCGAGCGTGCACCGTCACTCCCTTCCCGTACCACGAGTGCTCCACGGATTCGAGCCACACCGCAGCAACGCCAAGGCCTTCAAGTCCCTGCAGCTGAGGAGGAAGGAAGGGGGAAGAGGAGAGTTCAACCCCCTAATAGGCTGACCTATGATGCACTTGGAAAGCAAGGCAAGACAGCCCTGGCCGGAGCGGCAATGATGGTCGGAGACGACGAGGAGAGTGACTACGAGGAGTGTGCCTTCGCGTTCTTCTCTCCGGTGGAGATGCCGGGAGAACCAGCAACTCTCAAGGAGGCTTTGGAGAGTAGTGATGCTGAGGAGTGGAAGAAGGCCATGGAGAGTGAGCTGAAGAGCATCGAGGAGAATGACACGTTTGAATTGGTGGAGCTACCGGAGGGGCGTACGGCGATAACGTCCAAGTGGCTCTTCAAAATCAAGTCGGATGCCGACGGCAAGATCGAGCGTTACAAGTCTAGGCTTGTAGCCAAGGGGTACCAGCAGAAGGAGAAGGTGGACTTCAAGGAGCTGTTTGCCCCTGTGGTGAAGCCGACGACGCTGCGAACCCTATTCGCGGGAGCCGCCATCAAAGGATGGGTGGTGAAGCAAATGGACATTGTGACGGCATTCCTTAACGGCATCCTTGAGGAGGAGATTTTTATGGCGCAGCCAGAGGGGTTTGATGATGGTAGTGGCAGAGTGTGGAAGCTGAAGAAGGCCCTCTATGGGCTGAAGCAGGCCCCTAGGCAATGGTACATGAAGCTGCGCGAAGTGTTGGAGGAGATCGGCTTCACTCCCTCAACGGCCGATCACTCCTTGTTCATGCTTGGCGAGGGGGAGCTGAGGAGCTTCATGGTGGTTTATGTCGATGACATTCTCATATTCTCACCCTCCTCTGACCTTGTGAAGGAGGTGATGCTGAAGCTGCATGACAAGTTCAAGTGCAAGTCCCTTGGTGACGTGAACTTCTACCTTGGGCTCCACATCGAACGAGACGTGGAGAAGCGGAGCATGCGAGTGCACCAACGGAAGTACCTGGAGGCGTTGGCTGCCAACTTCGGCCAGAGTGAAGGTCATGTGGCTACTCCCCTTCCCTCTGGGTTCAAGTGTGTGAAGGGGCCAGAGGAGGAGAGCGTTGGAGAAGAGGAGAGGCGCCGATTTCACTCGTTGGTGGGCAGCCTCATGTATGCGGCGGTAAACACCCGACCGGACGTCGCGTTTGCTACCGGGCAGCTGGCTAGGGTTGTGCAATGCCCTAATGAGGAGCAGGTAGCAGCTGGAATGAGGGTGGCCAAGTATCTTGGCCAAACACCGACCGTTGGGCTGCAATACTCGGCGGCGGCACAAAGGCGCCAAAAGGGCGCGGATGGTGTTGAACCCGGGCGTTTGTTCCTCACCGCCTACTCGGATGCTTCATATGCATCAGAACCAGAGGACATGACAAGTGTGGGAGGCTTCATATGCTGTGTTGGTGGAGGCCCAACTGCTTGGGAGAGCAAGAAGCAGGTTGACCAAGCTTTGAGCTCGGTGGAGTCCGAGTATATGGCACTCTTCCGTGCCGTACGGGAGATTGTGTGGCAGCGGCGTTTGTTGGCTGAATTGGGGGAGGAGCAGCAAGGACCTACCCCACTGTATTGTGACAGCCAGGGTGCCATTGCTCTTGCTAAGAACCCTGTGTTGCATGGACTCACGAAGCACATGAGGGTGAAGTGGCATTGGACGAGGAGCATGGTAACCGCGGGTGAAGTTGAGTTGCGCTACGTGAAGACCACGGGGCAGCCGGCTGACATGATGACCAAGAGGCTGGTGGAGCAGCAGCATTGGAAGTGTTGCAAGCTGGCTGGGATGGCTCTGAACTGACAGAGCAACATATCCTAAGGCCAACAATCCGAGGGGGAGTTTGTTGGTGCAACCCTATGGTTTGCACTCGGCTTGTTGTCCGTGTGCGTGCATGTGTGTGTGTGTATGGAATGGTATGAGGGCATGGGATAATATATATTTCATGCTTATAATTGTGTGTGAATGTTGAGTCATGATGTCGAGTGTGTGTGTTGAGTCAATAGCGAGTTATCGCTAGACGCGTGTTACGCGGTCATTTGTGTCTCGCGCGCGGTTTCTATTTTGTCGTGCGCGGTTTCTATTTTGTCCTGTGTCGAACGTTCGGTGTGTCGCAGGTGTGTGCAGCAGACCCATCAAGAACTCAAGGACGAGTTTGTGATGAAGAGCCTGAGCCTTGGTGTCAAGCCTCAGGTGATTTCAAAGCTCGCCAAAAGGGTACACCTCAAGATATTGAAGATAGTTACATTACTTTGTGTAGTGTAACATTTCACTTGGTGTAGGCCCTAGTGAAGGGTAGTTTCGAGACCCTTCGTGGTTGGGGACAGTGTGGCACTGCTCCACATCACTGTACCTCGGCTCTTGGGGTTTGTAGGAGCTGGGAGTCATTCCCAACTCGTAACTCTTCAGATCTCTTCCTATTTTTGTGTTCTAAGACTATAGTGGCTGCCATAGTGCCGTTCGTTCAAACCAACGCTGTGTCGTCAATACTTGGTCAAATTGTGCGATCTAAATTGCCTATTGTAGGCGACAATAAGACGCTCCAGATCCAAGTTGAATCAAGTCATTTGAAGCTGTGACCAGAACGCTATGAACGTTTGAAGCCGCTGTGCAGAAATCCGACTGTGCACTCTATCTTTCGTTTTAGGCACATTGGAGCCTACTGTGACTATAACAGAATTGGGTGGGGTGATAGAGAGAGGGAGATTGGGGAGGGGTGATGGAAAGAGGGAGAATTGGGCGGGGTGATGGAAAGCGGGAGAATGGAGCGGGGTGATGGAAAGCGGGAGAATGGGGCGGGCTGATGGAAAGAGGGAGAATGGGGCGGGGTGATGGAAAGGGGGAGAATGGGGCAGGGTGATGGAAAGAGGGAGAATGGGGCGGGGTGATGGAAAGCGGGAGAATGGGGCGGGCTGATGGAAAGGGGGAGAATGGGGCAGGGTGATGGAAAGAGGGAGAATGGGGAGGGTTGATGGAAAGAGGGAGAATTGGGCAGGGTGATGGAAAGCGGGAGAATGGAACAAGGTGATGGAAAGCGGGAGAAGGGGCGGGGTGATGGAAAGAGGGAGAATGGGGCGCGGTGATGGAAAGCGGGAGAATGGGACGGGGTGATGGAAAGCGGGAGAATTGGGCGAGGTGATGGATAGAGGGAGAATGGGGCAGGGCTGATGGAAAGAGGGAGAATGGGGCGGGGTGATGGAAAGAGGGAGAATGGGGCGGGGTGATGGAAAGCGGGAGAATGGGGCGGTGTGATGAAAAGAGGGAGAAAGGGGCGGGGTGATGGAAAGAGGGAGAATGGGGCGGGGTGATGGAAAGCGGGAGAATGGGGCGGGGTGATGGAAAGCGGGCGAATGGGGGGGGGGGGGGTTGATGGAAAGAGGAAGAATTGGGCTGGGTGATTGAAAGCGGGAGAATGGAGCGGGGTGATGGAAAGCTGGAGAATGGGGCGGGGTGATGGAAAGCAGGAGAATGGGGCGGGCTAATGGAAAGAGGGAGAATGGGGCGGGTGATGGAAGGAGGGGATTGGGGCGGGGTGATGGAAGGAGGGAGAATGGGGCGGGGTGATGGAAAGCGGGAGAATGGGGCGGGGTGATGGAAGCAAGGAGAATGGGGCGAGGTGATGGAAAGCGGGAGAATGGGGCGGGGTGATGGAAAACGGGAAAATGGGGCGGGGTGATGGAAAGCGGGAGAATGGGGCGGGGCGATTGAAGGAAGGAGAATAGGGCCGGGTGATGGAAGGAGGGGATTGGGGCGGGGTGATGGAAGTAGGGAGAATGGGGCGGGGTGATGGAAAGCGGGAGAATGGGGCGGGGTGATGGAAAGCGGGAGAATGGGGCGGGTCATGGAAAGCGGGAGAATGGGGCGGGGTGATGGAAAGAGGGAGAATGGGGGGGGGGGGGGGGTGATGGAAAGCGGGAAAATGCGGCGGGGTGATGGAAACAGGGAGAATGGGGAGGGGTGATAGAAAGAGGGAGAATTGGGCGGGGTGATGGAAAGCGGGAGAATGGGGAGGGGTGATAGAAAGAGGGAGAATGGGGCGGGGTGATGGAAAGCGGGAGAATGGGGGCGGGGTGATGGAAAGAGAGAAAATGGGGCGGGGTGATGGAAAGGGGGAGAATGGGGCAGGGTGATGGAAAGAGGGAGAAATAGAGCGGGGTGATGGAAAGCGAAAGAATGGGGCGGGGTGAAGGAAAGCGGGAGAAGGGGGCGGGGTCATGGAAAGCGGGAGAATGAGGCGGGGTGATGGAAAGCAGGAGAATGGGCGGGGTGATGGAAAGCGGGAGAATGGGGTGGGGTGATGGAAAGAGGGAGAATGGGGCGGGGTGATTGAAAGCGGGAGAATGGGGCGAGGTGATGGAAAGCGGGAGAATGGGGCGGGGTGATGGAGAGAGGGAGAATGGGGCGGGGTGATGGAAAGTGGGAGAATGGGGCGGGGGGATGGCAAGCGGGAGAATGGGGTGGGTGATGGAAAGAGGTAGAATTGGGCGGGGTGATGGAAAGAGGGAGAATGGGGAGGGGTGATGGAAAGAGGGAGAATTGGGCAGGGTGAAGGAAAGCGGGAGAATGGAGCGGGGTGATGGAAAGCGGGAGAATGGGGCGGGCTGATGGAAAGAGGGAGAATGGGCGGGGTGATGGAAAGGGGGAGAATGGGGCAGGGTGATGGAAAGAGGGAGAATGGGGCGGGGTGATTGAAAGCGGGAGAATGGGGCGGGCTGATGGAAAAAGGGAGAATGGGGGCGGGGGTGATGGAAAGGGGGAGAATGGGGCAGGGTGATGGAAAGAGGGAGAATGGGGAGGGGTGATGGAAAGAGGGAGAATTGGGCAGGGTGATGGAATGCGGGAGAATGGAACAAGGTGATGGAAAGCGGGAGAATGGGGCGGGGTGATGGAAAGAGGGAGAATGGGGCGCGGTGATGGAAAGCGGGAGAATGGGACGGGGTGATGGAAAGCGGGAGAATTGGGCGAGGTGATGGATAGAGGGAGAATGGGGCAGGGCTGATGGAAAGAGGGAGAATGGGGCGGGGTGATGGAAAGAGGGAGAATGGGGCGGGGTGATGGAAAGCGGGAGAATGGGGCGGGGTGATGAAAAGAGGGAGAAAGGGGCGGGGTGATGGAAAGAGGGAGAATTGGGCGGGGTGATGGAAAGAGGGAGAATGGGGCGGGGTGATGGAAAGAGGGAGAATGGGGCGGGGGTCATGGAAAGCGGGAGAATGGGGCGGGGTGATGGAAAGAGGGAGAATGGGGCGGGGTGATGGAAAGCGGGAGAATGGGGGGGGGGTGATGGAAAGCGGCGAATGGGGGGGGGTTGATGGAAAGAGGGAGAATTGTGCTGGGTGATTGAAAGCGGGAGAATGGAGCGGGGTGATGGAAAGCTGGAGAATAAGGCTGGGTGATGGAAAGCAGGAGAATGGGGCGGGCTGATGGAAAGAGGGAAAATGGGGCGGGTAATGGAAAGCGGGAGAATGGGGCGGGGTGATGGAAAGAGGGAGAATGGGGCGGTTGATGGAAAGCGGGGAGAATGGGGCGGGGTGATGGAAAGAGGGAGAGTGGGGGGCGGGGTGATGGAAAGAGGTAGAATGGGAGGGGTGATGGAAAGAGGGAGAATTGGGCGGGGTGATGGAAAGCGGGAGAATAGAGCGGGGTGATGGAAAGCGGGAGAATGGGGCGGGGTGATGGAAAGCGGGAGAATGGGGCGGGTTGATGGAAAGAGGGAGAATGGGGCGGGGTGATGGAAAGCGGAGAATGGGGCGGGGTGACAGAAAGAGGGAGAATGGAGCGGGGTGATGGAAAGCGGGAGAATGGGGCGGGGGTGACGGTTAGTGGGGAGAATGGGGCGGGGTGATGGAAAGAGGAAGAATGGGGAGGGGTGATGGAAAGCGGGAGAATGTGGCGGGGTGATGGAAAGTGGGAGAATGGGGCAGGGTGATGGAAAGAGGGAAAATGGGGCGGGGTGATGAAAAGCGGGAGAATGAGGCGGGGTGATAGAAAGAGGGTGAATGGGGAGGGGTGATAGAAAGAGGGAGAATTGGGCGGGGTGATGGAAAGCGGGAGAATGGGGAGGGGTGATAGAAAGAGGGAAAATGGGGCAGGGTGATGGAAAGCGGGAGAATGGGGCGGTGTGATGGAAAGGGGAAAATGGGGCGGGGTGATGGAAAGCGGGAGAATGGGGCGGGGTGATGGAAAGCGGGAGAATGGGGCGGTGGTGATGGAAAGAGGGAGAATGGGGCGGGGTGATGGAAAGAGGGAGAATGGGGCAGGGTGATGGAAAGAGGAAGAATGGGGTGGGGTGATGGAAAACGGGAGAATGGGGCGGGGTGATGGAAACAGGGAGAAAGGGGGCGGGGTGGTGGAAAGAGGGAGAATGGGGCGGGTGATGGAAAGCGGGAGAATGGGGCGGGGTGATGGAATGAGGGAGAATGGGGCGGGGTGATGGAAAGCGGGAGAATGGGGCGGGGTGATGGAAAGAGGGAGAATGGGGAGGGGTGATGGAAAGAGGGAGAATTGGGCGGGGTGATGGAAAGGGGGAGAATGGAGCGGGATGATGGAAAGCGGGAGAACGGGGCGGGGTGATAGAAAGCGGGAGAATGGGGCAGGGTGATGGAAAGAGGGAAAATGGGGCGGGGTGATGGAAAGAGGGAGAATGGGGAGGGGTGATGGAAAACGGGAGAATGGGGCGGGGTGATTGAGAGCGGGAGAATGGGGCGGGGTGATGGAAAGGGGGAGAATGGGGTGGGGTGATGGAAAGCGAGAGAACGGGGCGGGGTGATGGAAACAGGGAGAATGGGGCGGGGTGATGGAAAGCGGGGAGAATGGGGCGGGGTGATGGAAACAGGGAGAATGGGGCGGGGTGATGGAAAGAGGGAGAATGGGGCGGGGTGATGGAAAGAGGGAGGAATGGGGCAGGTTGATGGAAAGAGGGAGAATGGGGAGGGGTGATGGAAAGAGGGAGAATTGGGCGGGGTGATGGAAAGCGGGAGAATGGAGCGGGGTGATGGAAAGCTGGAGATTGGGGTCGGGGTGATGGATAAGCGGGAGAAAGGGGCGGGGTGATGGAAAGCGGGAGAATGGGGCGGGGTGATGGAAAGCGGGAGAATGTGGCGCGGTGATGGAAAGAGTGAAAATGGTGCGGGTGATAGAAAGCGGGAGAATGGGGCGGGGTGATGGCAAAGCGGTGAGGAGGGATGGAGCGGGGTGATGGAAAGAGGGAGAAGGGGCGGGTGATGGAAAAAGGGAGAATGGGGAGGGGTGATAGAAAGAGGGAGAATGGGGCGGGGTGATGGAAAGCGGGAGAATGGGG